AGGAAGAGAGGCAAAAAAATGAAGTATGTTTTAGTTGCAACCTATAATTTCCAATTACACTCACAGTTCTGCACCTGGTGAGAAATTCTTGCCTAGAACCTTGTCTGTGCTGCATGTTGATGGTGGAGGTGCAGCAGGAAGAGAGGCAAAAAAATGAAGTATGTTTTAGTTGCAACCTATAATTTCCAATTACACTCACAGTTCTGCACCTGGTGAGAAATTCTTGCCTAAAACCTTGTCTGTGCTGCACGTTGATGGTGGAGGTGGTGGAGGTGATGGTTTGATTCTGGAACTAGCAAGCAGAGGAGGAAGAAAGTTAATAGATCTAATGAGGTCAAGTCCTTGATCCTAGGGGACGTGAGCACTGGCCCTTTGAATGAAAGGGGAAGATAGATGAAGGCTTTTTATTTACTAGGGGCACCGTGTGATTTTTGAGACCCAAGGGAAAGCTGCAGAACTGGTATTTTCTCTCAGAGTCCACTGGCTAGTGATGATGAGAATTAGCCCCATTGAACATCTGTCCATCTGTCTTGCTAAGTGCACTCATCGTAATGTGTAGGCTCATTACAGTGAGGGATGGTGCAGTCTCCTGGCCAAAGTCCATCCTAGTTCTATAAATTCCCCCCCTTGCAGCTCTAGTCACGCACGGGATCTTCCTTCACTTCCTGCCTGTCCTTGGCAATCGTAGTGTAGCACAGGAGCCTGGATGGGAGGAACCAGTGCACACATAGCAGTTGTTAGCACCAGTGAGCTACAGGAACACACCTGAATTGAGGGAAACAGGACTGGAGATTGATGGAGCAGCAGGAGAAGCTCTGAGAGTAGCAAACCAGAGAAGCAACAGGTAGTGTTTGGGCAATATCAGCTTTACCAGAGCAGCAATTAGAGGCAGGGCAGCAGGATATGCTGAAAATTCAGGAAGCAGCGTCCAGGGCTCAGCCAGCCCACGATCACGTAGAGCTGGAGGGATGAGCTCGGTGTGGGAACACTTGCAGCATCGTGTCAGGATGGTTGGG